CCTACAACTCGGCGGGAGTCGCAACCACCAGCTCCTCGACGGGCGCTGGTTCCTCCTCGGTCGCCAGCGGGGTCGCGGATCCGGCCGTATCCTCCTGTCATCAGAGCTTCTCGCAGAGCTGGTGCAATTACGCTCCTTACACTACCGCGAGGCATCACCATCCGGTCGACACGGCCGGTCATCATCATCCTCACTCGCAAGCGGGGGTCCCGTACTTGACGCCGTCCGCGGCGGACGACCGGGGAAGGGTCACTGCCGCCATGGTTGCGGCCGAAAGCGCCTTTCCTCACGACGGATACGGTGGCCTCAGGAATTACGGGGCGCCTGAACCTGTCACTTCCAGTCCGTACCCGCCTCCAGGTAAGCATCGACTCTTTCCTTATCGTTTTCGTCGTTCGAATTTCGTTTCAGCGGACCACACGGTAAAGTATATACGTACCTGGTAATCTGGACCCAATTGACCAGTTACGAAACCTGGATTTTCTTGCTACTCGAAACACGGTCGTAAGTCGCGAGATCGTGCGCTCGGCCCGAGGAACATCGGCCTTGGAACGCGAGGGGAACGGTAGAGACGATTTAAACGGTCTAAAACCACGGACCCGTCGTGCCAACGATCGTCATCGTTCATTCACGTGTTTGGTCATTCTCTTTCGCCCCCACTGACCGTCCTTTTCTCCGGTCCCTGGAACCCATGAAACGTCGCATGAGCAACAACGAACCGCGGCAGGTTTATTGGCGGCCGTAACTCGTAAACTCTGGCGTGCGCCTCCGATCAGCTGATTCGTTCCATGACCCGTGCGGACGTTCGGTCTTCTCCCGCTAACCGCCTTTCTCGTTTTCCTCCTTGCCGAATCTCTCGACGTTACATTCTTTTCCGCGGTCCTTCTTTTCCTTCTAGCTTATACCGTTCGTTATCCGACTCGTGTAAGCAGTTACGGTGTTCTCGATACGTCGGTTCGATCGAGCCTACCGGGTTTCCGAGGCGGTTGGCGGCAACGCGTACAAAGGTTCGAAGATTTTCAGCGACGATTGTCGACCGTTAGTCCGCAGGGGAAAAAAGAACAACGCGTCGAGCGGCGCGATCGTAAAGAATAGGAAAATACGAGACACGACGGCTGGTCATACGGGCACGCTCGGCCCCGATAAACGAGATATCGTTCGCGTGATTCTCTCGTCCGCCGAGTTAATCGTATGCGTGGGGCAGGGAGGTACACGCGCAGGCGTGCGATACATACAAAGTAGTCGAATACGAGCGCCGCGTATAGTTTAACCGTCACCCGATAGATGGCAGCTCCATTATCTTTGTTCGTTGGTTTGGTATCTGAGAGCGAGGTAGGCCGAAACCGAAAGAAGTTGGCCGGGCCACGACGGAGCTCCGATTTTCGGTGCGTTGCGCGGGGACGACAGGTGCCCGCTCGTTTTAGCAGTCGAGATAACCATCTTCCCGCGTTTAGGAAGACTTCTTCGAGAGGAAACCGGTTGCACCCTGACTTCGCGCGTACAACGTTCGATCACCGATTTACAACCCCGTACCGGCGCTTTTTCCATTCGTTTATCGCCAGACTATTCGCGCCTTCCACCTTTCTTTAATCGTCCCTAATTTGACCCGTACCGAATTTATCGATCGGTAGCGCTCCAACGACTGTTGTCCCGTCTTCGAAACTCGCGCCGCGACGCTTTTTCGCGCCGCATAGTCGGTTCGGTTGCTAAACTTTTCGTACGAGGATTTTGTTCGATGCAAGTTCCGCGCGATTCGGTATCGAGTGACTTCGATCGACGCGATTCGATTTAGCCTGGTTCAATTTCGCGATACTCTGTTCTTAGATTTAACGTGATCCGATTTCATTTGTCATGTTTTAGTTTAACGCGATTTCATTCGACACGTTTCAGTTTGACGCGATTAAATTCGTTGAAATTAAATTTAGCGTAATTCGGTCCCATGCAATTCAGTTCGATGTGATTTTATTCAGACTACTTCGATTCAGCGCGATTTGATTCGGCATGTTTCAATTTGACGCGATTAAATTCGATAGGATTAAATTTAATGTAATTCACTTCCATTCAATTCAATTCGATATAATTAAATTCAAGATATTTCAGTCCAACGCCATTTCATTCGATGTGTTTCAATTTGTTTTGGAATATTTAGAAGTCTCGTAAAGAAAAGTATCGACTTATTTTTTTATATAAACTCATCCTCATTTTGACTAAAGATCGAATACCCTGAGATATAAAGATTACGTAAGGCAAAAGACCCAATAGTTGGCATTGATCCGATTAGTGACACTCGTTTGGTTCATAAAAATTTGCGTTCATCTTTATGCTCATTATTTATAGTATAATACCATGAACAAACAAGTCAATAAATAAGAGCACATGCGAATAAGAAACAAGTCAATAAATAAAACTGCACGCAATAACTGAAATGAAAAAATTCATATCAAGTACCACTGGTTGGTGCTAATACCTAAGGATTTGTAGGTATGTACATAAAATCTATATTATTCAAAATAATTTCCATAAGTCTTGAGAAAACACTAACCCAAAGAAACACTTTCTATATTTTAAAAATACACCTTTAATTATATAAAACGTTTCAAAACGTTGCATAGTAAGAATCTACTAAAAGTGTCAATAATTGGATGACTCGCCTTGCCTGTCAATAATTCGCGATTTCCATCGGATGTTTGGGGTTCCGATGATTTTCTGATAGATTAACGCAGATCGTCAGATAAATCGCATTCGGTCACAGGTTCGAAAGGGATCGTTTTCGAGGGCACGCTAATTGTTGGCAGCTCGCCTTCCGCAAATCGATACGTCTTTTCGTCCGCAGTTTCGTGTACACCGCACACACGCGTACGCCATGCACGTTGACATTCGTGAGAATCCTGACCTTTGTTAAATAATTTGCATATTCCAACGTTTTACTGGCCAATAAATTCCTGTCGCTTAAGCAATCGCGGCGCGATACCCGCGAAACGAGACGGGCCGAGACGAACGTTGGCAAAAGACGGGAACAGAGGAAGAGAGAGGATCAGCCATGGATTCTCTGTTTCGAGTCGAAGAAGACGAGACAGGGATAGAGAATGGGAGACTAGAGAGGCAAGATATTACGCGATCTAATAACACCGAGGAAGGAAATACGGAAGTTTAGCTGCCTTCTATAAAAAGACGCTTATTATATTTTTCCTTTTACCTTTCGTCAAAAAATTTCAACGAATGTTATTTATGGGAGAAAAGGAAACAGACTTAGAAGTCTTAATTCTGGGATAATTTATTCGGCTCAATGTCGCGGGTTATTTCACTTGTAAATGACATGGATATTTTTGGACACTTTGATCGAATTTGATGAAACTTTGTTGACCTCTTCGAGGACGATTCTTTTAAGGACAGGAAAAGGAATTATTAAATTTTTTAGCATTATTATATTTTATTGGCTTTACCAACAATTACAGAGGAATTATTCCTAAAAGAATTTGTAGTATAAAAATCTTAATTCTATAATACATAATAATAGGAAAACAGTGTACATTATTATGTGTGCAAGACTTGAAAGGGTTAAACGTGCACATATGAGTAAGTATCCTTGAAGAGGTTAAAAAGGAAAATTCAAATAAGCGTCTTCGAAGAATCTCAAGTGTTTTTGAGTTTGACGTCGGTGTCGTGTAAAGTGGTTAACACATTCGCTGCTCTTATTGACACAACTAATAAGAACCGAGATGTCTTGTCTCCTCTGAAATTGCTGCTGATCTCTATACAATCTGACGAAGATAGAGTACTAAAAAGTAATTTTCTAATTTTGAAATCTCCAAAACTTCTGAACAGTAGAAACTAGTAGAGTTAAAAGACCTGATTCATGTTACAGATAAATAATTACGTTAATGTCTACTAGACAAGTAAGTTTATTCTCACGAGGAGTCATAATGTGTTTTTTTTTTGTTTTACTTGGAAAACGAATTATCGGAAATGACATAGCAAGTTCGCAGTAATTTCGTATAAGGTTAAAGAAAATTTAACTCGGCGAGCTTAAGAGGAACGCGAAGCAGATGTTTTATTTCTTTGGCGTTAATTTTCTGCAAAACACCCCCGTAAAAGCTCTGCATCCGGCGGCTTAGCTCGAAGAAGAGTTGCGCAAGCAGCGCGACAGTTGCTTGCAATTTCGAATTCCTGACACGATGTTAGCATATTTCACTGATTATGGCAGCGGCTGGTTCAACGAAGAATTCGCTGATGCTGTAATTGAAAGCACCAAAAATCAACGAAAATGTGATTTACGGAGATTAATAAAACTTTCATTTTGGATTTAGAGAGTACCAACGCATAGTTGATTCGATAACATCGGTTATTAAAAATTAGAACGTAACTATGAAGTAAATAAACGATAATTTTGTAGATGAAAATAAGGGGTTGTGTGAATAACGTTATTGAAATCATTGATGAGACGCAACGTATGCGTCAGCAGTAGGGAACGTGTTAAGGTCAGAAAAGAGAATTTTGTTGCAACGTAATCGAACATGGTTGCATATTGTAAACATGTACCAATTCCTCGACACTCTTGTCCGTACTTGGGTTAAAGATAGAAGCACTGGCCGCCTGCTTTCGTAATCTCTTCGAAGCTTCACCCGCTTGCAAGCGTTGCAGCGTCTTCCGAATAGCGATATTTATATCGTGATTCGATGGCGTACGCCAAAACGGAAAAGGTATTGTTTGCAGATTAAATTCAGAAAGCCTTGCTATGTTCTCTGAAATCGAAGTAAAATTTAGGAAGAGTAATATTTTCGAAAAAGTCAAATGATTTATTTCGATCGTGTACGCAGAACTTTCGTTATCTACCTGAAGGGTTGTTTCCAAATTAAATTAATAAAATCTACTCGTCAATTTGTTCGATCAGCTTCTATTTCTCGTTGTTTGTTAGTTTCAATTATTACCGAAAGTTCAATGTTGGAAAATTTTACTGTTTGTTGAAACAGACAAAAAACAGAATAATGGCTTTATGCAAATGAAACGAACGTGTGCACGAACAAATTATCAAGCTACATCGCCCTGTAGAGAAAAAAAATTATTCTGATATTTTGCATTTGTAATTTTTATTATCGCGATTTGATTGCAAAAAAGGTAAGAGGAAACGATAAAAAAATGTAAAACTTTCTAAGAAAAAATATCGATAATATCTGAAAAAGGTCTTAACCAGACTAGTTTGTTTAATTAGATATTATATACATTATTTATTTCAGTACTTTAACTGCACATACTTATTCCGTGCCGTTTTAATTAATTTTATTTCGTTTTTAGTACAGGACGCAAACGGCGCGTCATCAACCGCATTATACACAAATATTCGAGGAGTGTTGATGGTTTCATTTGCACTTTAACCATTTCTGCGGACAGATATTAACTTTCAATAGGGAATTATTTGTGCCATCCCATTTATATTGCAAAATGACTCGTAGTTTCAATGCAATAAGCACTTTTATGTCCGGTATGGATTAGCGATTTTTCATTGCAGTTTTACACAAATGAAGTTCTTGCACTGTGTGATTCGATAAATTCATATTCTTAAATTGTAACTAGTAAGGTGGGGCCTATCACAACCCAGTGACTTTTACATTTTAAAAGGCTTAACTAGTTTTCAAATTGCGTAATAGTACAACTTTCAATACCCCTTTTTATTATTCCTTCTCTACAGGGAGGTTCAAAGTTTCTGTCATAGATGCAATCATTATGAACTTCCAGATTAGAAATTCAAGATTGTTTAGAAAATAATGTGGATATTTATTACTCATCGATGTTCGCGATTGAATTTGATTTAGATTTTGCAAAATAAAATTTCTATTTTCAACATTCCTCGTAGAATTTACAAGTTCCCAAATGTACTTTCTACATTTTCAAATTTTCAAATCTCAAGTTCTCAAATTTCTAAATTCTTGAAACTACAGATCCTCAACTTCAGAAGTTCGCAAATTTCAGTAGCAGTAACGGGAAATCGCGAGCAAGTAACGCGCCTGAAAGGGGTTAACATTTTCGCAACAAAGATTTGAACTACAAACGTTAAAATTTCAATGTGCAATCGGGTTCGCGGTTGCTTGCATAAAAATCTGTAAACCAGTTGGACTTCTCGAACCACCTAATACGAAGCAGACGTATTAACAGTTTCACGTTTCGTATCTGGTTTCATGTTTTTCGTGCGGCTAGTATAGCAAGTCCAATTATATCGTGGCAAACCCTTCGCGTACGTGGGTCACGCACACAAACCCATGGGTTAAGAGCACGCTCGAACGTTGCGGAGCTGCTTCGGGTGTGAATTTCACGATCTCGTGACCTCACGACCTTCTGTTTCAGGAAATCTCCGTTTCAGCAAGAAATTCTACCACTTTGTCTTTTGCCGTCTTCGTCAATTTTCAATAAGTTTATAATTCTGTAACTGTATCATTATTATCTTTAAATTTCAGTTTTTAATGACGGCTGATTAATTGATTATTGATGGTACGAAAACAAATTATGAAATCATTAAAGCTGTTAAAATTGAAATATTGTATATAAAATTTATATATACAATATACATAAATATCAATGTACATGTTCATTATAATAATTAGCAGGATGTTACGCTGATCGATACAAACTGTTATTAATATTTGGTGTTGTTTATTAAAATATTACGATTGGTTCTTTTATTGGCACGAAGAAATTTTCAAATAAATTAATCTTTTCAATAATTAGATTTTTAATTTCGACAAGTGCCATTGTCATTGCGGCAGTCAACACGTTAATGAAGTTTATTTTTGGAAAAAAGTAGAGCGGTACTAGTATGGTTACGCACCGATACGCTGACTAACAAACCAACGAACAATTTGCATTCATTTCTGTCAGCTTATGCTGATTCTAATGGCTCAACGAGGGAAAAGAAATAGGGACAGTTCCGGCCGCTTTTCCTCCTACGAATTATTTTACTGCGAAGCGTTCAAACCTAAGGGAACGTTCAAACTAGGCAAGTAACTTGGCAAGCGAGTCAGCAAATACGTACTTGGCTAGCCAGTATTCAATAAAATCTGGCAGGCAATCAAGAGTGTATAAGTAAACTATTTGTCTGGTACAAACAGGCTCTAATACGGTAGAATCTCGATATTTCTTCGCGTCAGGTGCTTTAGACACGAACCGAAATATTATCGATAGACTAAAATATGGACAGAACGATACACTGTCGTATGATGAGCAGTCTATGTACGCATGCGTGATCGCTGGAGGTGCTGTAATATCGTTTACGCATGCGTATACAGGATCCTAGCTATATAACTATAGCACAACCCTTTCAGAACCGACTTTTTTCTGCAGTTAAATGGTTCCTTCCCTGGATTCACTTGTAATTAAAGGAGTCTTATGTTGCAAGTGTGCTCATAGCTAAGAGGAGTTTCAAGTCGAAAATTTATCTCGCGGAAAAATCTCGAGGTTCCACTGTTAGACGCTTTTATGTACCATCCGCAGTGAGAGGGTTGAAGGTGGCTGAGAAACTGGAGTCAAGTTAGATCGACGAATCGCGTGGCGTAACATCGTTGATAACGTTTATCAAAATCCACTAAACGTTGACTGGCATAAATTAGTTGGCAAACTGTTTGTTCGATAAGCGTAACACTCGACGCCGAAGGAAAGGTGAATTTTGCTCGCCAGCTAGACGTTAGCTAGCAACTAGGTTGTTTGTTATCGGCAAACTAATTGTGTTAAGTGATGTGGGGTTCCTCCCCATCTTCGTTGTTTTCCGCAGGTTCCCTGGCGGGAGTCGGCGTGGGTGTCGGCGTGGCGGGTATGGGCGTCGGTTGCGGGAGCTCGAACCCTCTGGAGTGGACCGGTCAAGTGACGGTGCGGAAGAAACGCAAGCCGTACTCGAAGTTCCAGACCCTCGAGCTGGAGAAAGAGTTCCTGTTCAACGCGTACGTGTCGAAGCAGAAGCGATGGGAGCTGGCGCGCAACCTGAACCTGACCGAACGGCAGGTGAAAATCTGGTTCCAGAATCGTCGGATGAAAAACAAGAAGAACAACCAGAGGCAATCGCAACAGCAGAACAACAACAACAACAACAACAGCAGCGCCAACAACGCGAATCACCACGCGGCGACCGGTAGCCATCACCATCCGAGTGCCGGGCATGCGCCACCCTCGAGTCACCACGTGGTCGCGCAGGCGCACCACGCGAACGGTTCCGCGAAGCATCATCAGTGACCCGTGGCTTTCTCTGGGATCGTCTTTGGCCACTCTCATCACAACCACGGCTCCACGGACGGTTGTGCTGGCACCGGGACCGGGAACGGGACGGGGACCGGGACCGGAACAGGGACACCGAGCGGAAATCACGCGAACCTGGTTACAGGTCACAGCCACGCTCTTCACGCGCCTCAACCGCAAACGCCTCTGCCGACCCACGTGGACGGTGGTGCGCCCTCGAACACCGTCACACTCCCCACCGCCGTCGTTCATCCTCACGTCCACGCGCACGCTCATCATCATCACCATCATCATCATCAATTGGCGCACGTGGCTCAGCAGTATCCGACGCTCCTTCATCAAACGCCCCATGGCCTGGCCGCCTGAACCGCACGACTTCAGGCTAGGACGCCCCAGAGAATCGTCGACGAGTCGTTCGCGTCGCTCGTTGTTCGCGACTCAACTTCTTCGAGGTGATCGTCAGGGATTTGGCCATCCGTGACTACGCCCGGATAGATAGACACACGTACCCGCGCACACCCTATCGAACCTTGTTCAGCAGCTGTTCAAAGACTGCCTACCACTTGTAAGGAGAGATAACGTTTCGCGAGTAGTATATTATTATTATTATTATTATATTATTTTATTATTATTAATGTTATTATTACGATCATCGTCATCTTCATCGTCATCGCTGTTACCGATCCAACGGAACGGACACACTGTTGTATAGAAGAGCACCGTTGCTCCATCGCCGGACTCTCTCTTTTCGTTTCCCCGCGTGTCAGGTGTCGATCTTGTTCGAGTAGTGCGAATCGCATCGCGACGCCGAGAAATCTGTCCAATTCGTAATTCGGTAGTACTTCCTCCAGTTATACATATTATATATATATATAGATATACATAGTAAAGCAAATTAGTGTCACTTAGTGTCTGGCCCCTGGACGAACGCCATCCCGCTCCACCCCATCCCCAACAGGTTTCTACCCTCTCGATCGTACGTTTGCTTTGTGTCCGACTGAATAGGAACGTGTCGTGGCTCGAGGTGAACGGCATTGGGCCCCGTGGCTACGTCGGAAGATCTCGAGGATCGTCTTTCAGGGGTAAGTGCGCAGAAAGTTAGGGCGCGAACTTTCAACGAACGATAACTATTACCTTAATTTACGTCGCTACTGTCTGTGATTCGCGGAAAGTACTATTGTTTTTCTTGTTTTGCGGAGACGCTAAAGATCGATCGCGACTCGTGTTGTTCTTTCGTCGTCGGTGTATTTGCGCGAGTCGACGCGTGTTAGTTTAATTTCGTCGCGAGACAGAATCCAATAATGGAGTCGTTCCACGGGATCCGATGAATCGACGAGGATCAATAGATCCAGCGTGCAAGGACTCGATCGCCGGAGGGTCTGAGCAGGATTACGCGCTTGGACCTTTGTAGATAACTTCTATGTTCGTTGTCTGGCGTTTTGTCCTCTAGATAAGCCGGCGATCGATGCGGGAAATTGAAACTGGTGCGGGACAATCTATGTCGCGGTCTTTACGCCAGGACACGTTCGCGACTGTGCAAAGCAACCATACGGTCGGAGGATTAGTCTAATTATGTCCAGAGTGTTGTATTCACCGCCTACCAAGGATCGCGAACTAGTACCTATAATTCTTATGTTATATGTAAAGAAATAAAAACGACTTTTAGATGTAAAGGCATAACTAGTGGACTATCGAGTGCTGGCGAGAGCACTGCTCTAAGACTGAGTTTAGGAACTTCATTGCCGGAGCTGCGAAACGTTAAAGCTCATCGTGGTTAATTCAAATGGGAAAAGAAGTTCGTTTGTTAATTGTTGAACGTAAAATTTACTGTTTTTCTTTAGTTCGAACGACGAAACTCCAAAGAGCTGTCGTGGATTGAAAGATGTTTCTCTGTGAAAAATATTCTTGAAATATTATTTTCGACGGTGTTCGTGAAAAAAATTGTATTAAAATTCAAGGATTCACGATTCGCTCATCGAATCCGATGTCTATTCTTGCACTTGATTGGTAATTAAATTCACGATATTAATGTTTTCTGTTTGTTAATCATTGAAAGATATAAGTACAGGCTCACTAGTGCAACGTGCTAAAATTAATTTGTTGTTAGCATTTAACTTTGACGTATAGTAATTTTTAAATAAAGTGTAAAACATAATCCTGGTGTTCTGAAGATTTTGATAGAAAATAAGTGAAAAAAAATCGTGAATTTAATTGTCGATGCTGACGTCGAAGCAAGCAAGAAAATTCCAAAGCCACAAAGTGTAATTGGAAGATCGATAGAAACGACTGGTTACTGAGCCATGGAATTGAATTTTCAGGGTGAAGAAAGAATGTCATTTCGACGAGTCGAATCGAAAAAACTCCTTTCGATGAAACGAAGTCCTAAACGCGGTCTAAGAGCGCAGGAAATCGAAGCGTTTTACCTTTTAAACGGTACGTCAGCGAGTAAGTAGGTAATTTAATCGGATGTTCAATGAAAATAAATATCCCAGTGGATCTCTATTCTCTAAGGTGCAACATTATCTAAATTGTAAGGGCCGCTGAACGAGTGTGCACATCTACGGTATATTACGTACACATATTGCGTGTCCTCTTCTCGAATGCACTTATGTACGTACGAGCGTGTGATTGAGCGTGTGTGTGCGAGTGTGTGATACGCGCTCGCGTTTCTACACCGACGTATGTACACGTGGTACGCGTGTATCAAGATAACACGAGGTTCGCGACGGACAGAGAGAAAAAAATCGATAAAGAGAAAGTAGAGCCAAGGAGAATATTGAAATTTGTTGGTGTAGGTGCAGGAGCGCGCGTGCGAGAGCGAACGAGTGCGAGAGAGAAAGAGGAACGAAGATGATTCGAGCGAGAAAGAGAAAGCGGTACAGGAAACACACAGAAAACCTGCAACCTAGCTCAGACTTACGTGCAATTGTTTGCGAGACAAATATTCGTTCGCAAGTATACAAACACAGGACACGAAGAATTAAGCTCAAGAATAATTGACCTTTGAACAACGATGACCGTACATTCGGCGAACGAAGTTTGTAAATTTAATTCGAAAGTTCAGCGTACAGTAGCTGCTCGTTAATTGTCCGTTACATAAAGTACTGCGAATACGACGTGATCGCTTACATTCAATTTGTCCTTATTTAGAATCGTGAACAAATGCAAGTATGTCTGAACAAGGTTTTCACGAGACGCGAAATATGAACGACAAAAATATTATAATAATTAGAAAATAATTACGACATGAACACACACGAGCACGCGCGTATACACACGAAACACAATTGTGAGATTGGGTCTTGGATGAACGATACACAACTCCGCCACGATTACTATAATACAATTAATTATGTAACGACCGTTTAAGTATGATAACAGTATAAGTGGAAATAAAGTGATTCTTGAGAAGCAAGCGAAGAAATATCAGAGAAAGGTGGACAAATTTTCACGGGGGTTCATTGGGGGTGGTTGGGGAAGGGGTTAACGTCGGTATATTTATGTGAAGATCAAGATTGCAGTCGGCGAACCATACTCGGATTTCATCGTGAGTTGTAATTAGTTGCTAATTGTCTTGCCGCTGACGATTTTTATTGCGATTATTATGATTATTATTATTATTATTATTATATCATTATTATTATTATTATATTATATTATTATATTGATTATTATTATTGTGAGCGTCACGTTAATATTATGTTATTGTTTTTATTGTGTGTTGTTTTGTATGTACCTATCAGCCTATACGATCATGATATTATTATTAACAAAGCGATGGATTTACACAGGTATACACACACGTACACGGAACACGCATCGACAGGATATATACAGGGTGTCTGATAAGATATTGCATGGGATTTAATATCGATCACCATGTTTGAACGAACCTGTAGATTCAATATAATTTTAATGTTACATAACTCACGTGCTGTTATTTACACATATTATTAGAGCATTGAAAAAATGACAGGAAGTTAATCAAAATGAGGATTCTTAGAATTTACACGATTCTGTTAGCAAGAATCTTGTTAAGTCTCGCTACTTTTTCATCTCTGTTCGGCGACTTAAAATTATAGAAAAGAAAATGAAGTTTATAACAGTTACTTTTTGCAAGAAACAAAAATTTAAAAGAAGTAAAAATGAAACTTATATTTTTTAAAAAACTGATTTGTATTATTAAAGTAAAAAAAACTTATTTTTATTATTTAATATAATAAAAAAGAAGTGCAAATTGAAGTAATTTAAAAAGGAACCCACAAGTTATTAGACACCCTGTATATCGAGAGAAACACGATGTTATTGAACGTGCACGATTAATTTTAACTCATGACAGAATAATTTGTCGACCTGATACACATTCTAGCCTACTTCAACGTAACGTTTTTTGTTCGTTTTGAAAATACTTTTTCCTATTTCCTCCTTTTTCTTCGGTAACCTCTTTCGCTTAACGCTTTACCTATCCTTGATCGATAAAGCAACACCGTTTCATCGCTCTATAACAACTGGAAATTGAAACGAGCATTCTGTAAATTATAGTATATCTCAATGTGATCAGGCTCGCATGAAGCTGCGATAGTCTACCGAATTATTTTTGGAGCAAGGTAACTATAAATCAAGAATCGAGGACTTCTTTGTAACTATATTTTAAATCTCTAATTATTATTTTTACAAATATTGAGATCCGTAAGTAGAATTTAATGAACAGACTTCTGATTGGTAAGGTGTTAAGCTGAACACGCGAATGTCAAATGTTTAAAATTTCAAAAGCTTTGAAAAAAATTTTCACTTTGATAACCCGTTAGAAAATGTAGTAGAATTAATTTATTAAATTTCGGACAAAATTGAGGAAACAGGAAAGAGGAAAAAGTGAGAGAATGTACGTATGCATGCGTGTGAGAGAGAAAAAGGAACGCCAGGTTTCATTTCACCAGATTAAAAAAATGTTTATGTTTCTTTTTTTTTATATTCGAGTTATTAAAAAAAGGGAAAGATTGTTCCGGTGTTATTTCCTCTTTTTTTGTATATTGGCGGATAGAAAATCGATATATTTTCTTCTGTTGAACGAAAAGGCAATGTGAAGAGAATTGCAATTATATTATTGTTTCATGCTCAATATTGTTATTAACACGATGATTAATCCTTCCTGATGTACGAGTATCCACCGTAACTTATAATCAAGCTCATCTGCTTAGTGTTTAATCGTAAATCCTCACAACCACCCCCGGATCCTCGATCTCACCCTCTGTTGCACGGTTTCGTCATCTTCTCAGTAGCTCAAATACCGTGTAGGAAATTTTCTTTTACTCGGAAATGATCGTGGCTCTAATAATATCGAACGCGTGTGATCGACTATGTGTATCGTACATTCTTACAAATAGCCCCTACTTTGTCTGCTGTTAAAAATTTTACAACTTGCAAAAAATATGAATAAAATTTGAAGAACCTTCTAAAAGTTATATAATATTTGAGTACCGTGTACTGATTGTAATTTAAGAAAAAATAGTAACTTTGAAATATAACTTGTTTATAAAATTGCAAAGAAAAAAGATTTCAATTTACAAGAATTATCTGATTGTTATTCGAAATTTCCTAACTAATTCGATGTTGAAAATGAAGTCGTGTTCTTTAAAAAAGAAACCATCTCTAATGTAGAAGACACGCGTTCGTATTATTTCAGCTACGATGACGATGAGATATCTCGAGGAAATTTTGTTTTGCGACTAATGGATAGATAGGAACGTTTCACCAACCTGTATCTGTTTCTAGCTGTATCTTGTATGATATTAATTACGGTCGTAAGGTAGACATTAATTACGCTAACTTGTAAATAAAGACACAAAATTTATCCTGTATCGAAGTGCAATAATAAAAACATGTTTAATTAGTGCCAAAGTAATTTTGCAGAGATGAGAAGAACGTGCATCGATAACCTTCTTTCGAAGCTTCTGTACCTTCTATCGCGCGAGGAATGCAGTGAACAGTTGCATTATAAATTACCATGTATATATTACATATATACAACCGTTTACGGTGTAACGGGATGAGGTAAATGGTTTTTCATCAATTTTCAGCTAGGTTACAACGTAAGATCGCTGGCTGCTATCATGACACTTCATATTTTTTCAAATTTGACAAAGAATTAAATTAAGATACATATTCTTTTGTCGACCAGACGTTTTAATTTCTCGAAAGAAGTCGTAGAATTTTTCTTTCTCTGTCTACACTTGTTTCCCCTCTTCGAATTCACCTGTTCAATTTTTAAGCTTCACAACGCCGTTAATTGCTCGACCAGTTAATTAACTGAAAATGGTGGAACTACCTGTTTACGATCGTCCTTGGTAAGTTGAAGATTATTTTTCGTAATATTCCACTTGATTGACCATTTAAGGACAGGTGAGTACGTCAACGGAAACGGAAATACCGCAGTTATTAATTAGACTACTATTTCTTATGATCTGTCAATGTTTTTGTATTGGAAGAAAGAATAGATAACGATCGTTATCTTACGGTAAGTTGTAATTAATTACTAATATTGCAATTATTTTTTTATGTTCGTAATATAACGTGCATCACGTGTCAGAAAAAAATTTATTATATTGTGATATTACCAGTAACGTAGTACTACATAAATTCAAATTATATTTTATCGCAATGAACTTCGATAAAATTTATTGTATTAATTAAATTATTAAGTAACATATAATTCATAATAAAATTTTTGTTACGCGATCATGTTCTTTCAAATTATGTATTCAATTTTATTAGTTAAACAATTCTAAACTCGCACTAGTTTTCCACTCTCCATTTTTTAGTTTTCGAATAAACAGTACTTTTTTAGAAACACATTGTAACGTTTGCTTGTATCTATGTTAATTTGCAGATATTTATGTTAAACTAACAAAACAATAATTATTCATCAAACGACCTGGTACTTCAGTGTTGTTTCCAGCTCATTAAAAATGGCTTTCATTTTATGTTGAAAACAGTATGGATAACGTTGGCGAGAAAGAATATGTAGGAAAACCGTTGCAAAAAAAATTCGTTTAAGAATGGGTTCGTGGGTCGAGTGACCAACTTTCTATCGATAAAAAAAATTGAACGGGATCTCCAGGTTCCTTGTTACTCGGAGGAATTGTCCTGCCCTTCAATGACGGGCTAAACAAAAAATTAGAAACTTCTGCCCTAACTTTCTAACCCGCTTTTAGTTTCACCAACATCTTCAGTTGCGTGAAACGCGCTGTTCCGTTTAGACGCGATTTTCAAATCTGAAATTGCCGTGTAATCGTTTATCATACATGTTGTAAGACATTACAAATATTAAACATTTAAAAATTAGTCGAAAACTTAAATAGCAATATGGAATTTTATAGGAAGTTGTAATCGTTTTAAGTTAAAATTAAGAGTGCTCTTATCGCAATTATATTATAGGTTCCTGTTGATCTAAGTGATATAGAACTACACGAAAGTTTTTAGTTCGTGGTGTGCAAAGTTAAGGTGAAATATTGGATTTTGCATTATCGTTTGTCATGCGACAATATCTATGATAGTTGTGCAACAGGGATATGTTAATAGCATGTTTTTAAGTTTTTATTTAAGTGTAGGTTTTGCTGGGTGATTAGTAGTGCAGACTGACGTGTCACGGTGAAAAGAAAATGCGCAAGAGGAGGCAATACAATTTTTGAAACGTATAACACAGGTAACTTAAATGCTAAAAATTACCAGCGTATCAAACTCTTTCAAAACGTAAATAATACTAATCTGAATTCAATATAAGTAATATTAATTTGAAAATTTCAATGCGTACATCACAATACTTCTGCTATTAGAAATTTCGAACTTGAAATTCTCTATTTAAATTAGAATTTAGTAAATAACATCTGTTTTATAAAAAGTTGAGTAAAACTTTAAAAAGGATCATAAAATATTCGTTTGATACGGAAGATAATATGGATTAGAATAAGTGGAACAGCAAAACATTGAAAAATGATATGAGTGGGAAACAGTCGTGTGAGAGGAGGATAGTATTGAATCAGAATAACGGAAGATCTAATAACAAGAGCCAGTAGGTGTAATTTGTGGGACAATATTTCACGATTACCGCTCCCACGTTGACTTACGAATACGTCTTAAATGCAATCTCTTGCATAACACGCTTCTCTCTTCTTCTTTCTTCTGCACTCGAAAATTCCTATAAAACCAAACCCTCCACTGCTCTCACATTAATTTCAACGATTCCGTGTAAAGAAAGAATTATTGTCTTCATTGCAACGCGTACGAAAAACGCTCTCCTATTTATAACTCTATAAATCATACCTAATCTGATACGATCGAAACGTTCATTTTTCATGTTAATTCTTTATACATTTTCGCGAGCAATTACGTTAGAAGAACAAACGATTAATTACATGTCGTTAACAGAACTTTTGACAGTAGTCATCCTACACATTACATCTCATTATAACAAAAAATATAAATATATCATAACATATGAACATAACATTAATACCTTGATTTCACAAAAGATGAACATACAAAGTAACATTCCTTTTAAAATTTAACCAATCGCGTATTTAAGAATTAACGAAAGTTCAAGATGAAATATTCGAAACTTCATAAAGGCTCGGTCCAATTTTCTCGTCCTTGAAAAATTCAA